TAATTTTGCTTAATCTTACTTAATTCTGCTTGATTCTACTTAATTTCCCTTTATTTAACAAAAAAAACTTGAATTCTTCTTAATCCTCCTTAATTTTGTTTTTCTTTCTTCAAAATCTACTCAAGATCTTTTATTTATAAAAACAATAATTCAAAAAACAATACATACAAAAACGTTTACACACAAACACTTTACACCCACATACGCTTTTACACACAAAAACTTTTCCCATCAAAAACTTTTACATTCAGAAACCTTTACGCACAAACACATTTACACAAAAAGGCTTTTACACACACACACACACTTTTATGTCCAATACTTTCATACACACAAAAGCTTTTACACCCACAAACGCTTTTACACTTAAACGCTTAAACGCTTTTACACAACAAAACTTTTATATACAGAAAACATATTTACCACAAAAACCTTTACACACAACAACTTTTACACACAAAATATTTTACACACAGATGCTTTTAGACACAAAAACTCTTATACACAGAAACTTTTACATTCATTTTTTTAACATTCAACACTTATTCTATTCCCAGTGCATGTGGCAATATTTCAGAAATTTAGTTTTTGATATCTTTGGGGAATTAGCTTCATAATATTTAATTAGTTAATGCCGCTTACACATGCTTCTAGAACTTATGATGTAAGTATTGATTAAGCATTTGGTTCCCATGTGCATTTTTGTTTAATCGCAAAATGTCTGAAACCTTGAAAATTCTTTAACTGATTAGTGATAAAATAATTGGCATAGTAAGGTTTTATATGACCAATACATATTTCAAGGATTTAGAAATTCATTTTTGATATTTTTGGGAATTTATATTTTAAGTACTTAATACCACTTAATTCCACTTACTTTAATATTTGATAGTCTTTGGAAACTGCAATTCGTAATAATTAAATTCCATTTAACTATTATTCAATTTAGAATCAATTTAATTCTACTTAGAATCGCCTTAATTTTACTCAATCCAACTTAATCATATTTTTCTGAGAAAACGCTTTTCTGGGGGATCGTGTTAGGGATGGTACCAGAAGGAAGCCATAACAATACGCCATCATCATCATTGGGCCTGTGGCCTTACCATCAAGGCTGCTGCGAGTAGATTGGATATCAAGATTATTGTTATTTTGAAAGCCAAAGATGGTAATTGGGGTATTCCTATGGCATTTGGTGAAGATAATATGAAAAATAAAGAAATATCAATTATTCTGAGCTTGGACGATCTTGAACGTAAGACTACTGATCCCAAAGCGATTGGATTGGCACGTAATCGAAATTTTAGCAACTTTTGGTTGCTGGAAGCTACTCCGAGTAAGGCAAATAAGGGCAAGCGCATGATTTCGATCATTCATAAGCTTTCGTTGAAACGGAAGAAGCCTGAAACTGACGAAATGTTTATTGGCGGATGAGATTGTGGAAGATATTGAACCGTTTGTTTGATTTTGTGAAATTGGTAAGTTTGAACTCATTATTTAATCGGATTTATTATTCGTTCCAAATCAGCTCTAAGTAAACATCCATTCCAAATTAGCCCCTTAGTAAATAGCGTGTTTAGCATGTTGCTTTGCGGCGTAAAGGTCGTTATGTACGAAGCTGGTAAGTTATGGGAAAGAATTGAAATCATGCTTGCTTCAGCGGTTATTCTTGTCGCTGAACGTGCTTGGAGTTGGGCATATTATGATGCAAATTTACCTCATATGAAAAAATATATTTTTATTCAGAATTACCAGTAGTACCGCGCAAGGCGGAGGCGGAAGTTTCAAAAATAGGAAACCTATAGGAGAGATTGGTTGTTGTGAATCAGGGATGGCAGAGCGAATCCACTGATGGACCGAAAGGTGCCTGAGGTCTCCTCTCTTTCTCTCTCTTTCTCTGATTATCTACCTACCTACCTACCTACCTATCTATCTTCTATGTATCTGTCTATCTATCGATCTATCTATCTATCTCTCTCTCTCTCTCTTTCATCTAATTACCTATCTATCTATCTATCTGTCTGATCTATCTATCTATCTATCTGTCTATCTGTCTAGCTGTCTATCTGTCTAGCTGTCTACGTGTCTATCTGTCTATCTATCTATCTATCTGTCTGTCTATCTGTCTACCTGTCTATCTGTGGTGCAGTGTCATTCAGTGTAATGTAGTGTAGTGTAATGTCGTGTAGTGGAGTGTAGTGGAATGTAGTGTAGTGTAGTGTAATGTAGTGTAGTGTAATGGAGTGTAGTCGAGTGTAGTGGAGTGTAGTTATGTAGTTGTAGTTGTAGTGGAGTGTAGTGTAGTGTAATGTAGTGTTGTGTAGTGTAATTTAGCGTAGTGGAGTGTAATGGAGTGTAGTGGAGTGTAGTGGAGTGTAATGTAGTGTAGTGTAGTGGAAGGTAGTGGAGTGTAGTGTAGTGTAGTGTAATTTAGTAAAGTGTAGTGTAATTTAGTGTGGTGGAGTGTAGTGGAGTGTAGTTGCGTTGTTGTAGTTGTAGTGTTGTGGAGTGTAGTGGAGTGTCGTGGAGTGTCGTGGAGTGTAGTTGTGTAGTTGTAGTTGTAGTTGTAGTTGTAGTGTAGTGTAGTGGAGTGTAGTGTAATGTAGCGTAGTTTAGTGTAATTTAGTGTAGTGGAGTGTAGTGGTGTAGTTGTAGTTGTAGTGTAGTGGAGTGTAGTGTAATGTAATGTAGTGGAATATAATAAAATGTAATTTATTTTAATTATACAAAGCGAAATGGAGCGAGATTTGAATCTCTAAAGGTGGTCCGAATCCCTGGCGATTTAAATATTTTGATTTTGAAATATGCTTTATATTAGAATGATATATATTTATTAAATATTTAAATTTCCAAAAGTGGTCCGATTTCCTAGCATTTTTATTATTTTGATTTGGAAATATATTTTGCATTATAATACTGTGAATTTTTTCGATATTATAATTTCCAATAATGATTTATTTTGACTTCAAAATGTGTTTTGCACTACAACGGCATATATTTTTTCGACATTGTAACTTCTAAAAAAGATCCGATAATGAGATATTTTGTATATTTTAATTTGGAAATATATTTCGTGAATGACGTCATTTTAATTGCCAAAAGTGGTACATTTTGACTTGGAAATATGTTTTACACCATAAGGGTCGGTAATTTTTTATCTCTCCTTTGGCCAGCTGCTTTAGCGAGCCTACTTTTCGACCCTCCGGAGCCTCAAATTATTGGAAAATCACAATGAATCGCGGTATTCCTACCTTTTCGTACATCTCCATCTTCTTTCTTATTACTCTTTCTCTTCTACTCTTCTTTCTTCTAGTCTTTCTCTTCTCTCTGCCTTTTCCCTGCTCTGCTTTTATTCTGTCCATATTGTCGGAAATTTGATTTCTAAATTTCCTTATTAAATTTCCATAATTAAAATCCACCGTAAATTACGAGTTCGCAGATCGCAAAAAATGGAGAAAAAATTGGACAAAATATTCTGATTTTGAAATGGAAGGAATTTTCTTCCTGAACGGAAAATTTTGGGGAACATTTGGAATATTAAAATTTTATAATTGTTATTTATTTTATTTTACCAGTAGTACCGCACAAGGCGGTGGCGGAAGTTTCAAAAATAAGAAACCTATAGGAGAGATTGGCTGTTGTGAATCAGGGATGGCAGAGCGAAGCCACTGATGGACCGAAAGGTGCTTGAGGTCTCCTCTCTTTCTTTCTCTTTCTCTGAATAGTTATCTATGTATCTATGTATCTATGTATCTATGTATCTATGTATCTATGTATCTATGTATCTATGTATCTATGTATCTATGTATCTATGTATCTATGTATCTATGTATCT